CTTTTTGAAACAAACATTTCTTAGATATAATGCAGAATTCATGACTCATAAAAGAAAAAAATGGATAAATTAAACTTCATCAAAATTAGAAACTTGTGTTCTTGGGAACATGATTAAGAAAATGAAAAGACAAGTCACAGGCCAGGGGGGAAAAACACTTACAAAGCATATTTCTGGTAAAGAATTTGTATCCAAAATATGTAAGAAACTACTTTCGGGACACAATTGGAAAGCAAATCTACTGGGAAATAGATTTAAAGGAACCTTTTTTTAACAAAGACAGACCGATGGGAAACACAAGGAAACATGCTCAACATCATTAGTTAACAAAACAATGAAAATTAAAAATAGAAAGAGTTAAAATAATTAAAAATAAAGTGGCTGACTTTATTTGGAGTGGATAGTGCTAGGTTATAGAAGAACTGGAATTTTACGCATGCCTGGTGAAATGTACAATGGTGAAAACATTTTGGGAAATTATTCGGTAGTTTCAACAAAAATTACCATAAAATCTACACTTAAATATTTACCGAAGAAAAATGAAAGTATAGGTTCATGAAAAGACTTCTACATAAGTATTCAGGTTAGCTTTATAGATGAGAATTAAAGTGGAAGCAGTTCAGATATCTGTCAAAGGATGAGTGGATACACTACTGGGGTACATCCCCACAGAGAACACTATTCAGATGTAAGATATAGTTAACTTCAGTACATACAGCAACAGGGATGAACTTTAAACTGTGATGAGAGTAGAGACAGAAACAGCACGATGTTTGGTTTCATTTATATAAAACTGTAGAGAATTCAAACTAATCTTCCACTTACCTGTTGTTGAAAGGTCATGAGTTTCTGCCTGGAGATGGGAATGCAGTGATTGCAGATGTTAGAAAGTGGCACTGGTAAACGTTTTGGGGTGGATGAAGATGGTTTCTGAGGCAATTCTTATTAAATTATGCACTTTACATGTATGTAGTTTTTGTATATTTTCTATAGCTCAAAAATGCTTTTCAGAAAATGCAACAGAATTGTTAAAAGGTAAAATAAATCTCCTAGAACACGTAGTTGATAGATAAATCAAAACAAACCTAGACTAGGATGGAAAGATGACCTGTCAAGAATTGCTGTACTTGGATCTGCTCAAGTCCTCAGAAGATCGGTATTGAGAGGTGAGGTCTAGTAGGAGGTGTTTGAGTCCTAGGTAGATTCTTTGTGAAGAGATCAATTGCTTTTCTCCTGAGAATGAATTAGCTACTCCAGGAATTCTCCTCACTTTTCTGTCTTTCATTTGTGCCTCTTTCTCCTGTTTTTTGTGTCATCAGTGGAAGGACCCCCAGATGTGACTGCTTGGATTTTCTGGCCTCCAGACTCCTAAAACACAACAAACCTCATTTATTTTTTAGTCTACGTGCCTGGGGTATTCTGTTCAGCAACAGGAAACAGACTATGACAAGGATCAAACCATTAACTGCAAACTCTGTCAAGTAGGAACATACGAGAGAAAATGGAGGAGATTTTCTTTAATAGAACAATGTCCTTCTATAACAGAACAATGTTTAGAGCTAAGAGATACAGACCTTTAGAGGGAGGTCTTCACCCAAGATCTAACACCATAATAAAGAAAGACTCACACTCCATGTACCACGTGAAATATCAGAAAGATATCATAAACCTTCCCTTAAATCAGGGTTCTTGCTGGGGCAGAAGGGGGAGTGAGGAGCTGGGGGTGAATCACCTATCAGTAAAAATGATCATCTGATATCACACTTGTTATCACTTCCACCACTACAGGATAAATCACAATAGTATGGTGATATCAGCATTTCAGGGAAACTAATTTTCAGTCCTTAAGTCAATACTCGGCTATCAGTTCAACGTAAAGACCAGGATGACCATTCAGAAATGCACAAACTTGAAGCACTTCAGCCATATACACCTTCCCTGGGACGTCAACTGGATGTGAGCTCAGGTGAAGTGCAGGATAAAATGCGAAGACACAGCAAGGGGGGAAAAGAGGGTAGAACGACTCCAGAAATCAAATGGAATGAAAGAATAGGAGGAAAGTTTTGCAGCAGATCCACAAGTAGCCAGTCTGAACGTGTACAGGTTCTAAGTCAGAACCATGGAGAAATCTTCATCACTGCCAGTGGAAAAGATTCCTAAGAGTCAGTTTAATGACTGAGTTGGTGGACAAGGTTCAGTGTATGGTAAGGAAGCATATAATTCCTTCCCCTTTAAGGAAAAAGAATGGAAAAACAGAGCAAGTAGTGAAGGTGAAGGGGAGGAGTTAAACCTAGGAAAATCTTCACACAAACGTACATGTCATGTTCAAATGAAAGGATGTAGGGAGAAGTAAGTAACTGACTTGAATATTAGAAATTTTGTCCTTCAAGCAGCCTGGACTTCTAAAGATGGAAAAGAAACCCAGGCAAACTGTTTAGTTCTTCTTTGAGTAACGTTTATGTAATGTTAGTAATATCGAAGTTGCTCATTAGTTTTCAATCCTTGGAATTAATTTATAAGTAAAATCCTGCAGACCGAACTGAAGTCGGAGTGCCGAATGTTCCTCGTCGACACAGCGACCCTGACTGGCTGAGCTTTTCTCCCATGCCATCCGCTAGCCTACGTTCTAGCTGGAGAAATTATAGCATTTCTGCGTTCGTTACCCTCTTGTCCCGACAACTATCTGTACACACTTAGACAAAATACTACACCTTCCACTGTGCTTACAGGTTGCCGCTTAGTAATGTAAGCTGCTCGCAGTTTTTCACTTTCAGGTTGTATCCATAAGCATAATATTCAACACTGACATATAATTTTAGGTTGTCTGGCTGACTGCAAACTTTTTAAACCTGATAATGTAAAAGGGTAGTTATAGCTAACCGAAGATAGGGGATGGAAAAGGAGAAAGAGAAATGCAATTAAAAACAACGGGAATGTGTGCCATGGCAGCTGTGGGTGGAGGACGGGGCAGCCGGGGGGATGCTCACCCCAGCCGTGGGGAGTGGTGCTGACCACAGCACTGTTTCTAATAGACAAGATGTGGAACCTTCCTGGGTGCCCACCCATGGGAGAATGGACAAAGAAAATGTGGTCTATACACACACAGTGGTGTAGTATTCATCAATCAGGGAATGAAATGCTCTCATCTGAGGTAAAATGGGTGGAACTGGAGGATATTTTGTTAAGTGAAATAAGCCAGACACAAAGACAATCCCACATGTTCTTTTGCTTTCATATGTGGAACCTAAAAAGTTGATCTCAAAGGAGGCAGGAGGAGTAGGTTCCGGTTCTCCGCAGCACAGCAGGGTGACTGTAATTAAAACTAACCTGTTACATATTTCATGACTCCCTGAAGGGAGGACTGTGAGGGCTCCAAATATTCAGAAATGATAAAGATATGACAATGCCAATCGCCCTGATTTGAGCAGTACACACAGAATGCAAGAACTGAAATAGCACCCTGTCCCCCATAAATATGTGCAACTATGCGCTAAGATGAAAAAGAAAAGCAGGGTGGGGAGAAGTACCCAACCCTGCTGAAAGGGAAGTGAGTTGTGCTGTGTAGGTGGGGTTTCACAGTCACCCGCCTATGGGGCCTAACTAATTAATTTTCTGTTTCAAGTTATTTTGTATTTTTGTTTTGTTCTGTTGTGTTCTGTTCTATTTCATTGCTTTTTTATGCTGAAGACTGAACCCAGAGTCCAGCATATGGGTGCTACTACAGGGCCATACCTTACCCCCAGGGAATTACATTTTACAAATAAGCATTCTCTACATTGCTTGCTGATGGATTCTGATTGAACCTGTTTATCTAAAGAAGCCATGGTCACAGGGTTTGAGTCCAGGTGACAGTACGAGTACCCCATTCAGTAACACTGATGGCTCATCCAATGTGGGACTCAAGGCCTTACCTTAAAAGTGTATCAAAGCATCAATGATGCAGTTTTCTCTGAAGAATAACGTTCTCACCCAGGGACAGCTGAAAATCCCTATCCCTTAGAAGCTAGTAAAAAGGAAGTTAGAAAAAGAATTATAAACTGGAGCCAAATATGAATGTGGGCCATAGCAGCTGTGCATCATGGGAGTGGGCAGTCTGGAGGGGCTCTCTGAGGATAACTGGACCCCACATTCAGTGAGGCCCTCTTCCAGCTGCCAAAAGTAGGATGCTTTCTACAAGAAACTTTCAGACCTTTGCTCAGAATTCCCAAACTCTCTCTTTGGCAGCTATTGGTCATCTAAAGTCATTACCTAGGACAGACAGTATTTAGCACAGTGAGGTAGTGAGAAGTGTTTCCCCCAGTGGAATCTAGCCATCAATACAGAATCAGTACGAAACATATCCGAGGCAGAGTGTCAGAGGAGAATGCAAAGATGAATCTGTACAATGGAGGGGCAGGACCTGCAATGAATTACAGAAGAATTTACATTGTTTTGCGTAGAGTCCATACATTTGGAGGTAAACCTGCTATTAAACACCTCCATTTTGTGAGATTTAAAACCACTCTGAGGTTTTTCTTAACGTGTTAGCAGATGCTCTAGCAGCCTGGGAGCCTCCAGATGTTATATTTCCACTGAGTTCTGACTGGGTGAGGTGCCCGCAGATCAGTCATTTATTCATTTCAAAGCATTGCTTCTTACTTTCTTGCTGGAAAGCACCAGGGAAATTGCCTCAAAATACCAAAGAAAGACCTATACCACCTTGGCCAAAGGTACTGAGTCCCCAGCCTTCAATATAAAACCATTTCTAACTTAAAACACTCATTTAATCACCAATACAAGTTAGAGTGCAGTGTGTCTAGTTGATTCCTGGAGTTCAGAATAAATTGTGATTTTTTTTTTTAAACATGATGGTTCAGTTGGTCTCTTAAGCAGTCGACTTTGGGTTTATTTCTTTTACTTTCAGCATAACCCAAATGCACGTGCAATTAAAAATGACTGGGATTAAAATAACCACACCATTTCAACAAGACAACCAAGGAAGAAAAAAAACAGTCTTTACATTTAAGTCAGTTAGTCCTTTTTTAATAAATTTGAATTCATTCATCAACAAGTTTCATATTGTATCTATCACTCAATTTTGCTGTTTTGTTTTTCATGTCAAATAATACCAAAAAATTACATCAATGTGCTTAAGCAAAACTGGGTTTAAATTTATCTTTACAGTGAAATGAAGTCAACATGGGAACTGATCTTGACAGCAATCGTCTATCCCTAGTAGAGTGATCCTGTACTTACCTTGAACACTCACTGACTTGTGAAGTAGGAAAATGACACAAGGATGACAGAACGGGCTCCAGGGTTGTCCCTCGGGAGAGGCGCGGTTTAGGGTAGTTTGTGAGCCACTCTCTGGGAGGTTGCAGTTTACCCAGGTGTTGGGAATTTAGTATTTCAGGAAAACATGGCACCTTTCAATGCAGTAAAAGAGGTAATCAATCCAAGGCACACTAGCTAGTGTCCTGGGAAATTTTGATCCACCTGGGCAGCTCTTTGCCCCAAGTTTCAATGTTACTCTGATGGAGGCTCACGGTGAGAAGAAAGCCTGAGTCCCTTCCAGGAGTGACAAAAGATTTCACCAATTTCTCAATTTTTGCTTACATAAAATGGTCAGAAATATGAACTGATTTTCAGGCAGAAGGTTAAAATAGAAGTCATGGAATGGTTTGTACTTTCAAGCCAGGAGATTTGAAGTTAGACACATCTCTTTCTAGAAAACACTGTTGTTGGGACAAACACCAATGGATTATCTAGTAGAAGCTAAACGTGAACATCTATGCTGCAACGTGTCTGTCCCCACAGCCAGGCCCTATGTGTACAGTGTCACCTCTAGATGATCTCCTTGGTGACGATGATGTTAATTCTGAGTTTGGACAGGAGGGAAGTGCCTTCGATGGGAGGGACCCCAATGTCAAGGTTCCCATGGTGGCACTAACAGCTCGTGTTACTACAGAAGAACAGGTCACTTTAAATCCCAGTAGGAATATTATTGTGACCTACTTTCTAGTTCATTTCAGACTGGGGAGAAGTGAATTTCTCGTGGTATGGACAGTGAAACCCCTCCACAGTTCTGCGGTTGGTGAACAGGGCTGACGCTCCTGTTAGAGATGACTCGAGTCTGATTCGTCTTTCTCCGTAGGACTCTGTGCAGGGAGCTCCTGAGTTGCCTCAGGCGTATCTGAGGATGAGCAATCACAGACTGTCCTCACAAGCCTCCTCTGTACATTCTGAGCCCTTGTGAAGCACTCTGGAAAGACAGGACTGCTGAGAAATGAATGGTTTGTTACTTTCAGTTGTGGAAAAAAAAAAACCTCATTAGATCCCAAAGTAAATTTTGTTGTCCTTCCTCCAGAGGTCTTGGCATGGGTAACAGCCACCTCCAATTAACGTCAGAGTCTGGGTCCCGAATCTCCCACCATGGCCCACGCACTGGCTTAGGTAACTGTGTGGGGTATGAGAGGTCACTGTAACAACAGAATCACACTGAGGTCACTTCTGTTAGCACAGCCAGAGTTCTCTTCTCAATACTTCTCACAACTTTTAAAAATGGAGAAGCTATAAAATAATTTTATTAGAAGAAAAGTAATTTTCTTCTGAAATGGAGTAAAGCAAACACATACCCAAGGATCTTAAAAAGTTGTTTTTCTTTTTTTTTACAGAATATATGTGTGTGTGTGTGTGTGTGTGTGTGTGTGTGTGTGGTAACAAACACTATTTATAGTATAGCTATTATGCTAACTTCATCGCAGTGTCTACAAAGTTGTGGATCCCCAGTCTTGGTGCCAAATGCATATAAAAAGCTCAAAAGCTATTATGACTATACCATGCAAATTTATATCCAGAAAATCTCGGGAAGTAACTGTTACTCTTCTGAGCCCCATGAGGTCTCCGCCTTCCACATTTGGGTACCTCAACTATGCATCAAAAAAGTTTTGAATCATGTTTCTCCCAGGAAAAAATGAATGTCACAGTTCTAAATAGCATAAATTATACACTTAAAGTGACCGTTAGCTGCATTTTTCCATGTTTGTTGGCATTTGGGGGTCCCTCTTCTGACGAGGAGCTCACACCTTGAATTACTGGATACAGAAAAAGATACCTGAAGCATTGAAAGGGATAAAGTCTTCACAAATGTCTCTTTTCTCTTTAACATATTAACAATGATAAGGCCACTTACAAGGTTTATCCCCAAACTGTTTAACTTTTAGAATCCCCCCCATTATTTCCCATGAAAAAAACTGCCAGAGAAATGCCAAAGAACAAGAAATCCTTGGCACACCTCCAGAGAAAATAAACTCAGAGGGCAGCAGTTGGCAGAAGACATTGAAGAAAGATAGGAATGAAGGAGGGAAAAGGGCATTAAAATCAATAACTGACTAGCATGAGATTTTTGTGGGCTATGTTTTATCTGATGGTGGGTTTTGATCTGTCACAGACTCCCACAAATGAAGGGTTGCTATGGCCACAAAAGCAAAAGCAAGTCATGGCCAGCTCCCAGTGACAGTTCATACCACACACATCCTCAGAGAGGGGGTGCCTGTCTGTACCTGGAGACGGCAGTGCCGGGCATTTGATTACTGGACCAGACCGTGGCCATTCGTTTGGGACAGAACAGACAGGGTGAGGCATATGTGGCATTTTCTAATGAAGTATTAATTTAGCAGTTCTTTCATGCGTATTTTGCTTTATATCTTGTCCTCCGAATGCTTAACTTCACTGTGACACCTGTCTGCACAGCTGTAGCCATACCAGTTTATGGATGCCTGTGATAGAAATATTGTTTACAAAAAATATATCATCTTTTTTTTTCTTTAGAAAGATCTCATCTAAATAGTAAGTTAAGGTTGCGTCTATGAAACCGGTGCACCTTGTCTTGTTTCTACGAGCTTTAAAAAGTCCAAATACTGATGAGGCTGTGGATCAGAAGGAACCGAAAGTGACTGCGTTTGTTGTCAGGTTGCCCTCCTTGGCCTCAGAGAACGGTCACGGGTCGTGGGGTGATGCGTGGTATGTACTGGTTGTGTTCCTGCAGATTCCTAGTTGGCCTAGGAGTAATTGGATGTGCTTATGAGATATGTCACATACAAAATAAAGGCATGAGGATGTTTCTTAGTTTCTGAAAGCGAACAGTAGAAGTGTTTTAGCTTCAATCTTAATTTCTAGATAACAGAAAGTAGTTACATCACATAATGAAAAATATGACATTGCATGCTGCCATGATAGCAAGCATAAGAAACAAAATCTTGGTAAATATACATATGTATGCATACTATGCAAATATAGTTTATATTAACATACAATGTCGTAAGAATGACTGATAACATAACTGCAAGGGGGAAATCATCCTAGATGGTTTTACCTTAGAGTAACAAAGAACCTGAGACGTCTATGCTTTCTGTATGATATCAGGCCTAGAAATCTGGACGAGGTGTAGAGCACATTTTCGGTGATTGAACTGTCATTATCAAGACATGCCACTGTGTTCCCACATGAGTGAAGCTGGATCCACTCCAAGTGATCAGAAAAACCCTACACACACTGGATGTTAGAGAACTTACAAGGGGATGCCGTTCGCTCCCGATGGGTTTTCAAAAGATGGACGTTCCGGCATCAGTGTGGGATCTATCTACGTTTAAGACAACAGGTAAACACTTCATCCGCTAAACCACCGCAGAGAAAGTATACCTGATGAGAACAAAACCCATCACCAGGAAAGCCAACAAGCCTTTGCTCAGTAAACCGAAAAGGAGGGTCTGAAGTGTGTGACTTGCATTAAACTAGCAATACCACTGTATGAGCTTCTGAAAATTAACTAAGAATGTCTTTCTGAGTTTTCAACTAAAACATCTAACTTATGATAATAAAAGACACACTTTTGGGATGATATTGTGTTTCACGTCCTCATTCTCAAGGCATAATATTTAGATGATACTTGTCCCTTTCAATTAAAAAAGAAAAACTATGACGTTCTTTAATATGCATCCTGTGTTAAATTGTCCATAGCTGCAAAATGTTTATATGTATGTGTATATATAGACATACACATGGGTGCTCACACCTGTGTGTATAAACATATACACATACATCCTCATATACACGTGTATTTTATATATATGCTGAGAAAGTTCACATATATATACAATTGCGTATGTATATATGTGTGTGTCTGCATGTGTGTCCGTGTGTACAAGTATAAAAACTTGACAGGCAGGGTAATATTCACTCAGTGTTAAATGAAGTCTTTGAAAAATCAAGTACAGTCACTCAATTAACATAGTACAGCCAGTAAACTAAGTTGAAAAGAGAAAAAGTGAATGGAAACACGATCCGGGACCATCTGTCTATGGCATTCACATCGGTGAGATCAGGGATCTTAATTTTGAGCTGCGAAGACCTCCTCCGTAGGTGGGTCTTCTTGTGCGGGATGCTTCTGTCTCCCATGTACCGCCCTTCCCTGGGCATGCTCTGTTTCCTGTACTGGATTCCTGAGTTGTCAAAGGATATTGCTGAATTCCTGGTGTCACCAACGCCGCCCGCAACCTCATTCATCTCATTGTGGACCTCCAGCGATGTCAGGAGAATATTTCCGTGGGCGTCCACCTACGGGGAGAGAGCACACAGCATGGGGAAGCCAGCACGCCCGCAAATCCAGCTCTCACGCCTAACGCGGGACAGAGCGGTGTCCTGTAACCCTGCCCCACGTTCTGGGAGGAGCCCTCCATCTGTCAAACCCAGGGCTTTGTTTTATTGGAAACTGTCATCCTGGAGATTTAAATGTGACTTGGAGATTTTATTTTCTTGACTGGAAAATTCTCACTTAGGAGATGAGACAAAGTAAGTGAGGGCTTTTTCAAGCTGAAATTTTATATTATAGGTATGAATCCTTACTGAACAAATTGAAGTGCAGATGTTTGTTTTCTGAGGACTATATTTAAAATAAAGTCTCTTTGCACAATGGAATTGAAGTTCAAATAATGTTTAATTCTGTGCTAAACAGAGCGTCCCACCTTTGCTGACAGTGCCAGCGGTCTGTCTTCCGGTCCGCAGTGGAACATCTGAGCGCTAAGTGCGGCTCCCTCTCCCAACAGCTGCAGCCCTTCCCGGGCTCTCCTGCCCTAGCCATTCCCTGCAGCCAGGTCACACCCTCCCCTTCATCCGCTCCACTCTGCCTGCAGAGCTGGCTCCGTCCCCTCTGTAGTCTCCCCGCACTTCTACACCAGACCGCGGCCTACGGCTCTCCCTGCGAAGGCAGCGCTTACCACTGTCTTACTCTGAGCCTCCATCGTCTGTGTGCCCCGCGATCTCACTCCAGGCAGGAAGCTGAAGGAGAGGCGGTGGGAGGCGGAGCGGACACCTCCCGGTGGACCGCGGAGAGGCAGAGCCCACACACAGCTCGGAGCAAGGCTGTCCCCCTCACAGGGGTGACTCCCCACACCAAGGTGGCCTGAGCTCCGGACAAGCTGCTGAGGTCCAGGAGCCACTCCGGCTACGGCACAAAGGATGTGAAGATGTAGCTGGAGGTCACTTGTGAGTCTGGGAAAGTGGGACCTGAGCATCAGGATCACCGCCCCCGGAAGGTCACACTGTGGGGCGCGGATGCCAGCAAGGTCACAGACTCGAGACAGAGGCTGGTGTCACCCGATCTAATTGCTCGAATTTTCATAAGCACAAGAGAGAAGTTTCTTTAGCTGGAAGCAGAAGCTAAAGTCAGAGGAAGGAAAACAGAGGGAGGCACAGCCTGCGCAGGATCCCCACCAGCCCTTGAGGGAGCTGCAGGAAAGACCTCAGGAGGAAGAGGGCAGCCGGTACCAGCAACGGGCAGCCCCAGCGACAGCCAAGGAGTCCAAAAGATGAGGCATTTGGCCCTGAGTGGGCCTGGCAGCACACTGACTCCAGGGTCCCTGATTCCAGCCCAGTGAGACGCTACGTGGAGGACCGCAGAGGTCCGCTGCTCCTGCACTTGTGCCTAAGGCTCTGTGATGTCACGGTGGAGGTGGCCTTAACCTGCCGAACCTGTGCTCACTCAGCACCAGCGCAGGGTGCTGAGGGAAGGTGCACTTGCACCTGCTGGAGGTCCGAGACGGTTGGCCCAGGACAACACCCTCTGCACTGGGGTCCCTTCATGAGATGCATCTGGAGGGCCAGTGGTGATGACAGAAAACTTATCATTCCATTATTTTTTATTCATTGAAGGGAAAATTCCAATGGTGCTTGTATCTTAAAAGTACCAAGAGCATTAGGGGTCAGGAAGGTTTGAAACTTTTGTGGTGTATCTGTTCTTTTTGTTATTTTCCCTGGAATAATGAGCAGTAAGCATCTTCCAGTGACAAACGCTGCCTGCTGTCTTAGGACCAGGGATGAATCCAGGGCTTTGGGAGACTGAGTCTCTCATGGTACCAAGAGGTCGTGGGAGGAGAAGCCTAAAATTAATCCAGGTGTTCCAGAAACAGGAAGAGCAGCAAAGGAGTGGCGCCGGTCAGCACCTGGCCTTGGGGGTGAGGGGGGCATCTGCGGGAGCACTGTCCCGAAGGAGTGAACTAGGCGGACAAGGACGCTGGGTGCTTGGAGAGGGAGGCCACCATTGGATCCTGCAAATTCAGTTTGCTCCACTCCTCGTTTACACCAATGCATGTGAATGACACCAGTGAAGACATAGTGCTTAGCACTGCGTGAGACTGGACAGCTGAAGTCATTTGTCTAAAGCTGTAAAGCGATCTACTTACATGGTAAGTTGGTATGTTTAAACTCGTACGCGTCTGAAGTTGAGTCAGAGAATAACTGAAGATCGAAGGCGTCTGGTTTTTTTTAGGAAGTAGTGATGAATTTATTCTTTTCAGTAATAAGCAGTTTGTTACACTTTTACCGAAAGTTACAGAAAACTAAATTGTTTTTCTTAAGATAGGAAAAAAGCCCAGAAAATATTATTTATCTCTACATGTTCTTCCTATGCTAGGAAAAATGTTCTCCGTGTGCTACGTAACACGCTGAAGGGAAAGGTGAGAGCTGTAAGAGCAAGTGGTCCACCCTGGCAGGCGGGTGGGCTCTCTTTGGGCATGTAGATCAGATCAGCGACCTGGGACTACTCAGGCAGAACCTTAGCAAACCCCTGCCATGTAGCCTTATCTTGCCTGGGGCTAGGGTGGGGCTGAAAAGATGATTCCAAGAATGCCCTAACCCTCCGGTCAAGGAGTCTGGCAGAAGACTTTTAAAATGTCACCTCTTTTCTTATTATCAAAAACAAATTATGAAAGTCTCCTTTTATATGTTAAAGGATTCAAACAGTTTTGTGGAACAAAGTGACAAGGAAAGAAATGTATATTCTTAAAGGAACGATGAACTTTCATGATTCTAATGACTTAGCCTGACCTGGCTCTAAAAGTATGACATTGGTGAGCTTGGTCCTCTTCTCAGACTTAGAAAGTGACGGAAAGCGACTGGCCTGGTGGGACCCGCCCACGGTGAACATCGGGCATCCACTGACACACATGACTCGAGCGTGTGTCGCGTCCCAGGCACAGAGCACAGACTTGGTAGGTTTAAGGAACTAGATGCTGCCTAGCGGGGAAGGCGTGGGGGACACGGGGAATGTAAATGATCCGACACTTCACAAGCACAAAGAGGGTGTGGTGAAAGTTGGGAGGACGGAACAACATCCGCTCCCTGGGTGAGGGAGCAGCCATGGCAGCATGCAGATGCGTGGTGCGGACGTGCTGTGGAAGCCAGCATCTGCCGGGGTCCCCAAGGAGGGAAGACACGGAGCGTGACGACAGAACTCCAGGTAGGGAGGACAGGATGACGGATTCCAAAGAGAGGAAAGTACTTGGTTGCTTCAGGAACCACAAGGACGTGAGGAAGAGGCTAGAAATGGGTCACCTGAATGCTGAGCTGAGTCTCCAGGACTCAGCGACAAAGTTTTCTGATCCAGTGCCCATTTTCCCCAGTACGGTAAGGCTAGCAGTGTAGCGGCGGGAGTCAAAGACGCTGACTTTGAAGTGCAGTGAAAGGAGCTTAGCCCGAGGAAATCACACCTGATCTTCTATGAACACCATTAATAATTTGCAAAACTAAAGTGCCCCGGGTGCTGTAGACATTTATGACTAGCTTATAGCTGTCTTAGGAAAAACATCCTGTAAGGTAGGACTCGAGCTAATAAAATCTGACATTATTCTTATTTCTGAGTGGGTAAACACTTGTTTCTCTCTCCCTCTCTCTCTCCCTCTCTCTCTCTCCCTCTCTGTCTCTCTCTGGTACCAGGAATTCAACTCAGGTCCTTGTGTTTACCAGGCAGATGCTTGTGCCACTGAGCTATATTCCCCAGGCCAAAAGCTTGAAATGGAAATAAAAATTCAGGTAACACTTACTACAGTGTGCAAAGGAACTTAAATATATATTGAATTAATAAACAAGAACTTAGTGTAGAATAACTTTGGCTGCTTTACTTACAATTTTATATCTGCTTGGATTTCATTTCAATGTGAAACAACATCTACAGAATCTATACCAAAATTAATAGTAGGGTTTTTCCTCAAAGGATTAAGGGTGATTAAATTCCTGAAATCTTAAAAATCAAATATTTTAAACAAGTTTTTCCAAAAGAGATGTTAATTTTTTCTATAATCTGGAATGTAAGTCTTAAAGTAGAAAAAAGGTGTAGGTAAATTATAAGGCTAAAATGCACTTTATAGAACAACAGATGACTTGTAACTTTTAAATTATTTCATGAATACTTGTATTTTGAAGGATCCATCTCATATCTACTTTAATTAGAATCATCAATTTCAAGATAGTTTTTTTTCCCCTGCTCTATAACCTTGAGAGGTGGAAACCCTCAAAACCTAAAAACATCTCTTTCATAATATATCACAGAAGGATTCTTGGTTTTTTTCCTAGAATATGTCACCACACGGGTGCACAGTGGTCATCTTATTTCCTACTTACCTTCCAACTCCAGTTAAGTGAGAGATTCTAGTTTTAGAAGAATGAGAAAGAATCTATAATATGCTGAATGAAATCTAGCTCTTTACAAAATGATACTGAGTCTGCAACTCTGAATCCTTGGCAAGAATTAGGACTTTCTGACACCTCATGAAATTCATTTATTTATTTTTTGATTGATTGATTAATTTAGTTTGAGACAGGGTCTTGCCACTCAGTTCAGGCCATCCTTGAACTCACTTCGTAGCCCAGGCTGGTGTCAAACTCACAAAGATCCTCCTGCCTCAGCCTCCCGAGTGCTGGGATTACAGGCATGCACCTGGCCTCATGAAATTTATATACCAATTGGTCAACTCACAGAATACTGCACTCTAATGTGTGTGCTGCAGCAAGAGACTGACTCCTGGGTGGAGAAACAGCTCAGAACCAATAGGCAGTGTGAGCAAATAAAGTCGGGATTTGCACTGCACCACTGGTCTGAGAGGAAATTAAGCGAATGTGTGAGCATTGTGACCATTCATGACTCAATTACTAAGTTAAAATATTATATACCCACTAAACCCCAGGAAAATAAACTCATAGCGTACAGTAGGATCAATACGTGCATATCCTAGAGCATCTGCTGGTGACTCAGATCCTTCCTTGGTAACTACGGTGTCCCTAAGGCACTGTCTTCCCTTGACTCGCCTTCCCCTGACACAGACAGTGGTCTCAGAAAGGCAATGACAGCCACGACCTGTTGCAGACAAGGAGCTGCTATGGGCAGCGTAGGCTGTGGCCGGCCTGCAGGTAAGCGATGCACAGTCGCTGCCGGCAGATCAACAAGTGGACAATTATGGAGGACTGCTGAAGTCGTCCTGCCATTTCTATTTTGCATAAATCTTGTGATTCCTTTCCTTTTCCACTTTTCTTGAATTCATTTACCTCATTTGATATAAATTTTGGGGAAGTTTATTTGTACTTAAAGTTGTATCTGAATTCGTAGGTGCAGTCAGAGAGTTTTCAAGAATTGTTCTGGCATGGGGGATAGAACCCAGGGCCCCGTGCCTGCAAGGCAAACAACCTACCACTGAGCCCCAACCCCAGCTCCAAGAGCAATTTTTAATGCTTGTCATTTAGAACATCAAATATGCTCTCAAAGTTAGTATCCATGTAGCTATTCGTATGCTGATTTTAAACCTCAAGGACTGGTCTACAATTATAGGTTTTTTAAAAATATGAACATGCGAAAGCTTTACCAAAACGGCTAGGACAAAAGAGAAACAAACTTTTAGAAAAGTGAACAATAGAAATGGACTCATGAATCAATCAAACATTTCCCCTGCATCCAATTTATAATATATTCCTTCCATAGTCTGCTAATTTTCTCTGTGGATGTTAAAGGGCTTTTTTTTACTTTTAAATTTTATGCTTTATACTCAGAAAGCTATTTCTATAACACAACAGTGTGACAGTTCTAAACAGTCTCAATTATAAGAAAGGAAACAAATTTATAGTCAGCATGAATTTGCAAAGATAGCACCGTGTGTGTGTATGTGTGTGCACATGTGCAGGTGTGCATGTGTGTGTGTGTGCACGCACGCGCATGTACTTCCATGTGCCTCTGTCATGGAAACAGTAATGATGTGATGAATTCTAGTTTCCTTGGCAACAGCACAGCCAAGGCATATTGTGTATTCATAGTAGGACGCAGACCTCTTTAAAAACAGAACAGTATGGTACTGAATATATTTTCCAGGAAGAAATTCAAGATAATTTTGCCTGTGGAAAGCCTGGTTTTATTCACAGATCCTGGTTTTTCTGACCAACTCTATTTGTGTTTTGCTACGCAGAAGGGAACCCTGCACATTCATGTAACAGGTCTGTCTCATTCATGAGTGGCTGGGACCTCTTCTGGGCTGCCCCAGGCAGGAACTCTTGTGAGGAGCTCCTCGCTGCCCTGAGAAGGGCAGAACCCTGACGGCAGCCAGAGCAAAGGAAGGTGCAAGAAACCTCCACGGCCTGGAGAGGCCAGTACTTTAGATGAGGAGAATCTAAAACACCAAGGAAACGTGGGAATAAACCCAATCTATGGACAGGTAGAAGTACATTCTTGAAGATTTGAGGAGATAAAAGAGTCGGAAGGATAAATTAGAAAAATTATATAGAAACTATCGTTTCCTTAAGGTATTGTTCACAGTTACAATAAAACTTTGCTTTTATTAAAATTAAACAAGTGGCATCTAGTGGCAAAGTCCCCGGGAGGAGGGACCGGTGTGCTGCATGCAGAGCTGGGCTGCAGGAGGTAGGTGTGGGCAGTGGCCTTGCTCTCAGGCCACCTGTGGGTGGCCCAGGGCTTCCTGAGGCTGGGTGTTCTCGGCCACAGCTGTTGATGACACACTTGGGAGAACGTGGCCAGCACAGGTGGATGTGTGAGCCCTCCTGAGCGCATCACTGCCTGTCACTCCCTCTGCCTTGCCCCTGTGTGCTTTGGACTTTGCCCAGGGGACATGGGCAGCAGGGGATGTGTCTGCCTCCTCCACTGCAGAGTGGCAGCAAGCTGGATGATCAAACTAGTAATTTTACAACTACAGGAACATGGAAGCATTTTGGAAAAACACTTCAGGGCTTCTGTGTGTCAGGTTTGGCTACCACACACCACAGTCTCCTTTTATTTCTGTTTTGCTCTTTCTTTCTTTCTTTCTTTCTTTCTTTCTTTCTTTCTTTCTTTCTTTCTTTCTTTCTTTCTTTTCTTTCTTCTTTCTTTCTTTCTTTTCTTTCTTTCTTTCTTTCCTTCTTTCCCAGGAAATTGAACCTAGGACCTTCACTTTGAGCTACATATCAGCCCCTATATTTTTTATTATTTTGAGACAAGGTTTCACTACGTTGCCCAGACTGGACTCAAACTTGTGACTCTCCCACCTCAGAGGGCACCAGTGTGCACACACCATCTGAGTTTATTCATCCTAGGACCGCTTGTTCTGTTCTTTGTAGAAGAAAGTGGGAAGATTTTGGCTTCTCCAGCACCTGCTCTTATGTTTCCATGGGAACCAAGTGCCTCGCTCAGGAAGACACCTCGGCTTATGATCAGCAGGCCCTTCGTGTGCTACTGAAAAGCCACACAGGTACCTGCAGTGTGCCGCCCATGCGCTGCCGGGCGGGGATGAGTCAGGGCAGGGGAGAGGCCTACCCGGTTGCTTTCGCTCTTGGAACGGTCATTCTTCGCCTTGGCTGTCTTCTCAGCAAGCTTCTTCTGCCTTTGAGGGCCTCTTCCAAAGAAAATGTAGTTGACAAAGGCATACTCCAGAAGGGCCAGGAACACAAAGACGAAGCAGCCCATGAGGTACATGTCAATGGCTTTGACGTAGGGGATTTTGGGTAAGGTCTCCCGAAGGTGCGTGTTGATGGTGGTCATGGTCAGCACGGTCGTGATTCCTAGGAGGCAAGCAGAGCGTGAGCAGGGCTGCATCTTTGCTACACCTGTCCTCCATTTCCCTCTCCCTTTCTATTTGCCCAAAGAGTTCAAAGCACTTGCAGATAAGGGACTGCCCGCCGCTGGGCAACAGGAGCACAGTAGGGCCCCCCACGTGTGGCAGCAGTGCCACTTCAGACGGCAAACAGCTCCACTTTGGGGAGGCATCATGCCCGCCACGCCAGGGCAACAAAGAGAACGGCATGTGAGAGCAAAGGAGAGATGCACAAGGGAGATCAGGAGAACAGACTTATGAATGGGGAGAGAAAGGAAACCAAGTCCAGAGCTCAGCGAACCGCACCGCGGGTCTGAGTGGAAGCCTCAGGAAGAAGCACTTGGTGAGCCCGGGGGCTAGAAAGGCAGCGCAGGGAGCCTGTCCCAGGGAGGAAGCCCTGCCTCCCACAGTGCTGACTGGACACAAGGGTGAGGCAGGGAGTTTTTAAATTACTAAGCATCAGGTCCAGTCCTGAGCTCAAGGAGCAGTTGATAAGGGCCCTGCAAGCCGATTATCTCACAGGGCGAGTTCCTCGCTCTGCTAAGAAAGTCCTGTGGCCTCAGAAATGTCTGCAGCAACCAAAGAAGAATGGCATTGTCACAGAGCCGCATCCTACTCTGGGATAAACGATCGGCTCACTGTTCTTTGTTTCTTGTTATTTTGTTGAATTCTTAAGGTAGCCTTTTGTGAATGATTGCACTGCTTCCCCATGGAGTTCAGTTTAGTTTCTAGCCAGATAACGATGGTATTTGTCAGCTCTTTCTTCTCTAGCCACAAACACAGTTCCTGCTTCACAAAGCTCCCATGTTAAATAACAGGAGGCTCTAGAGACCAGGCATGGAAGGTCAGTGCCACGGCCACGGCCTGGGAGCTCCGTGAAGCGATGAGAGTGGGCAAAGTTCAGGCTGCTCCTTCCTGGCAGAAAGGTAACTACTGCCCCATGTGCCCCTTGGAGACTGCACTCTTAGAATATGAAGACGTCCAAGCAAGCCAGGCAGCTCCAAGGGGTCATTTCTTTTTCACTCATGCACTGGATGCCTGTGAGGGTGATTACTGGTGTGCCTTCCAGGACCCAGGGCATGGAACAACTTCTCTGCATTGCCCTGGCATAAGGAGACTCTGAAGGAAAGTCTGGTCATAATTTTCATGCCAGTGTTATACACTGAGGTGAAGAGGTGGTGTGAGCCCGGAAGGTCCCACCCTCAAGACCCCAGACCGTCCCATAGTGGTTCCCTGCCCAGTTTTCCCTGGAGGTTTAGATCTGTTTAGCACCTGAGGTAGAACCTCTGGATTCCCTCCCTGTCCTCAGAGGCTGCCTGTCCTCAGCCGGAGACGCGACTGCCGCGCTCAGCTCTCCTGCTCTGTGCTGGAGCACAGCATGGGGAAGGGAGCCAAGCCGCGTCTCCAGCACACGTGCTCCCTCCAGTGAGCTCTGAACAGCTCGCTCCTATGGAGCAGCGCAGAAGAGCCCCGGAGATCCAAGGAACTATTTTTGTGTCTAACTGTAAGGCGCAGTCGCTTATGGAATGTACGGAAACCTAGGATGTCAGAGGAGTTTAAGATTCATCTCGAGCATCACATTCATGTGCACCTGGAGACTTTTGAAAATTTGAACATGGCAACGGGATAATTGTAGTTTATAAGTAAATGGGAAAACACCATGCAAATGCTACAAAATTAGGCTTCTCACCATTATTCAAAAATCCTGTAATGCTGCTGCCACTACTATTTTTTACCCTTCCAGAGGATTCAGGAGCCTGAGCGCTCTGCTTTAGTCTATGCTTTGCCTCTGCAGCCAGCTATTTTGAATGGGCTTGCATGCGCAGGCCTCAGTTTACTCCCCCAGGGAAAGGGCCAGGGATAGAAACCCCACCTGCTCTCAGCCTGGGCAGTGGGGCCCTGAGGAGCACAGGTAGGACCCTAGCTGGAGGCCTGCATGGGGACCTTACAGCACTGGGGTCGACAATGATTGCCTGCGGTTGTGTGTGTCCCCGGGGCTCCTGTGTTGGAAGACTGGGCCCTAAGGTGGTCGCTTTGAAGCGTGGTGGGACGTTTAAGGAAAGGACCCTGTGGGAGGTGTTTAGGTCACCTGGGTCACTGCCTCGGAAAACATGAAGTAGTTGCCCGAGAGATAGTTAATTGCTCTGAGAGCGTGAATTCTTATAAAAGAGCAACGCAGATCCTCCGGTTTCTGCTTTGCCAGGTGATCTTTCCCTGTCACATACGCTGCCTCTGTGATGCCGACAGCCATGGGAGGCCACCATGGGAGGCTTCATCAGAGCTCAGTATGTGTGGTGACCTGCTATTAGGCTTACAAAACTTTCAACTAAGCACACTGCTTTTCTTTACACATTGCCTAGCTTTGGCTAGTCAGCATTTAGATGGGTTATCTGCTATTTCAGTGGAAAGCAGACTAGCGTGGTGCTCTGGACTTGCAAACTCCTCCTGCCGCTCTGCCTCCCTGAGGGCTCTGTGGACAGCTGTGTGCTGTCATGGTCTGCAGCTGGGGCAGTAGAGTCACGTGGGCTCAGGCTCAAGCCCAGCTCTGCCTGAGTCACCCGCTGCTGGTGTAAAGTCTAAATGCAATGCCTCAAGTGGCAATGGTGTGCTCACAAGTGTTGGCTGGCCTTAAATCCAGCATTTCAGAAGATGGTTACTCAGTAGCCTTTGGGTTGCGGGCCTTGCTTTGAATTCGCCCTCTCCAGAGGAAGAGCGCCTGGCTGCTGTACAGGAAATGGCTCGGAGGACATGATGGCTTCAAGTTCTCTGTACACTCATCAGGCTGTTGGGATTCTTTACTAATGGTTAGCCTCAACTTAGTTCTTATTTAATTACGCTAGTGAAATGTGATATTTTAAAACTACAGTTATAAAGATGACTATGAAAGAAGAAATAGCATTTATTTGCATCATATAATCAGAAGATGGTATTTTTCTTCCCTGTAATACAAATGATAAAGTCTAAGTGATAGTATTCACTGGTCATTGGATCTCAGGGATTTGAGGACAATCCTCTAAAGACAATACTCCACACTGAGTTAACCCAGAGTCGGAGCCAGGTCCTGCACTGGCAGGGGGACAGACGAGACGGCCGCTCTCACACTGGGAGAGAGGCCGCTGGATTCCGGCCTCGGCAGAGCGCATGGTCCTCAGGTCGGAGCTGTTTTCCGCCTTCCAACCCCCATTCACCTGACTCTCACCCATGACCACCTCTTCTGCCCTCACCCTACTCCAGGCCTTGAACAGCTTGGAGCCTGACGGCCCAGGCATAGCTATGGTAGGAGGAGTCTTTCCTCCCAACCAGGCCAAGGGGAGATTCAGGCTCATCATAAAAAGGCTGTGTCACTAAGAAAAAGTGGAGTCTACTTGCAGACACTGCAGTGAGGCTGCGTTGAATGTAAACTGGAGAGATTATCTGTTTCCTGTAGTGGAAGACGATATTTTACAATCAAGGATGCATAGAACTTGTAGGACCTGGGAAATTCGGTTTTGTGTTTACAACACACCCCACCCCTTGTGATGCCAGATACTCAGGGCTGTTTGGCACTGACATTTTTCTAATGATTATACTACCAACAAATCTACAGCAGATCTGCCCTAAAACTCATGCTGTCTTATCTTCAGGCCTCATTTACACAGATTCAGGGGCAGCTCCCCAAAATGTTGTATTTATTTATTCTATATTATTTTTCTTGAAAGAAATAGTTTAACAGTGCCACAAAATTTGGATCTTTCCCATAAATGTTTTGTATCTCTGAATTTTTCAGGTGAGAAGAAAACAGTTTAAGAAAGAATAATCTGGGGCTGGGATTTAGCTCAGCAGCACAGCGCCTGCCCAGCAAGTGCAAGGTCATGAGTTCAATTCCTGGTACAGGAAAAAAAAAAAGAAAGAGTAATCTAGTAATTTTTTTTTAAAAAAGTAAAACCTATAGGGAAATCTTAGTTATTTAAAAAAATTTTGCCTTCCAGACCACTTCCAAGATTTATGTTATGAAGATTTGGCTGTTATGAACTGTGCTTCTGTAAACATGGGGAGGCCTGGAGCACTGTAATACAATGTCTTGAACTGTTTCAGGAACATACCTAGAAGGGGACTAGCTGGGATGAATGGAATTTCTAGTTTTAGATATTTTTTAAAGGGTAAAAAATAATTTAAGAAATTAGAAGTGATACAGAATTTCAAAAAACCCAAGGAAGGTAGGAATTCAACAATAGTTGTTATATTGCATATTGTTGTCCTCAAAGCAGCTGTTCAGATTACCAGATATCAGCATGCAAAATTGGTCAAAAATATTAAGCATTTACTGTTCCTTTCAATAAAACGATAGAAATTAGTAGTACAATTATCTTATATATAACATATATTTTATATATATATATATATATATATATATATATATATATATATATTTCCCTTCTTTCTTTTCTCCTTTCCCTCATCCTAATTAGCTAGTTTTAGATTTTTAAGGACTGTCCATACTGATTTCCATAGTGGTGGTGCTAGTTTACATTCCCACCACAGTATGGAAGTGTTCCTCCCCCACTCAGCTTCACCAGCATTTATTATTATTGGATTTCTTCATGATGACCGTTCTTTCTTAAATAGATAAGGAAAATGTGGTCTTTGCAAATGATGGAGTACTAGTCTTCCAAAAAGAAAGACATACTTGAGTCATTTGCAGGAAATGGGACACACCTTGAGATCATAATGATGAGTGAAATAAATCGGATATACAAGCTTAAGTATCGCATGGTTTCTCTTATATGAGAAACCCAAAATATAAACAAAGAGCAAAATAACACAGAGATAGGACATGAGGAGATAGATCTTTCTCAAATGGGAGGGGGATCAAGAGATGGAGGGGGAGGGAAGGGGGATGCAAAAAGGAATCAAGATGTTACATGCAGCGCCAACTCCAAACATGGAATGTACGTATTATGTGCTGCAAATGCATACTAATAAAAAAGGAAATACACAGCAATACCGAATCTCTTGTTTTTTGATACATTATTCTTCTCAAGGTCCTTCTTTATTCACCTGCTATCTTTAGGAATAGCCACTTGATTTTTTTCCCTCAACTGATAGTTACGTGTTATTTCCTGGGAAAATCTAATCTTGGAGATAATTGTGCAAGTTACACACTCAGATCTAAACTAGACATCCACACACACATTCTCTTAGAAAAAAAAATTAAAGTCCTGGGAAAAGTCGGTCCAGAGAACAGAAGGCAAGAGGGCATAGCTGGAACACCAAATTACTTCACAAGCAAGTATGTCAACCATGCTTTTCCATTAATTTTTAAAGCACCTCTTGTTAATTACAGTTTTAGGCAGCAAAATCAACCTGAGAAGGCATGGATTATAATTTTTTGTTATCTCTCTACTTACCTAAAATGTATTCAATTATTATTTTGTTCATGAGGTTTCATAATAATTAGCTAGATGATTTTCCTGAAAATATAAGCCTTCCCTTCATAACAAACTACTAAAAACAATATTGAAATGCATGATACATTGTTTATCAGCTAATAATCCAGTTGTCAAGTAACCAATGGTCAGTAAAAGATCACTACCACTTTTTGGAACTACTCAGAATCTAATTGCTGATTTTAAAGCTCATGAAGTTGTGTAATTCCAATTATATTCTGCAATATTTGACTTTTTCTGAGTTGAAAAAGAAGAATGCACAATTAATCAAGTCTTTTTTCTGGGCCATGGAATCATTTTGAGCAGGAGATGTTAATTGTTGCTTTAAAATTAGTGTCAAAAATAGTTGTATTATGCAAATACACTGCAAGCATATTTCCCTTTCACGGGCATGGAAATTCACATTTGAGCCTTATAATTAAATTAACACATCAGGGGAATTGTGCATGAAATTAGTGTTTCAAGATAAAAAGTGACTATGTGGGCAAGGCTGGTGTCACAATGTCAAAAAATTGTAGTTGAACCTTTAAACTCCCTTAATATTGTAATGATATGGTCACTTTACATTTAGATATCACTTAATAGTTCCACATACCGAGGGCAACTCGAGCTGCAGATGCGTCATAATTGATCCAGAAGGACACCCAGGAGAGAATCGTGATCAGTATAGAGGGCATGTAAGTCTGCAGAATGAAGTAGCCAATGTTTCTCTTCAACCGAAAACTCAGTGAGAGTCGAGGATAGGCACCTACGGTAAAGAGAGAAGGTCACTGTGGGAGAGAAGGGACACGGCAGACGAAGAGCTGGCCTGGATTCTCGTGGGTCAGCAGCTCACATGTGAAAAGTCCATGGCTGATGGGTTGCCCACAGCCATGGGTGTGTTTCTGTCTGCCTAGTGGTGTCTGCAGTAGAGCAGAGAGGGGAATATATTCCTGCCTATTTGTAAAAGGTAATGATGAATGTATTCTTCTAGGGTAAATCCTCAGTGCAGAGCTGTCCCTGGGAAAACCATGGGGAAAGTTTTAGGTTAGAATACAGAATGATGCCAAACATCTTGTTTCTTCTTCACTGGTGACTCTTCCACTCTCAGCAGGAGAGATTTGACTCAAGACTCATTTGGGCCCAAGGGCTTCTGAGAAAGGTTGGCCCGCGATCAGTGGTGGGGGAACCAATGGCGTGTGAGCCAAGTCACCCCACAGCCGAGCATCAGACAAAAGTTGCTTTATCTAAACTAAAACCTCCGCACTGAGGTTGAATTGGAGTACTGGCCCTCTGTGATACGTAAGTGAGTTCTGGGTTGCAGGTTGGGCCCTTGGTGTCTAAAACATGTGCCATCACTGCGCTAGGCCAGCTGAGATGGCTCGAGGGCAGCCTAAGACCCAGAGGGCAGGAAAGCAAGCTCAGTGTCAGAGCAGCAGTGTCCGTGGGATGCTGGCTGGCCACAGAGGAGGTGTGCAGGGAGCTGGGAAGCACCTGTCCACCTTCTTGTGGGAATCGAGTGGGAAGCCTCGGGAGTGTCCGCTCCACTAGCACCCGCGGAGAATGAGAATGGACCTCAAGAATGACCTCTGCCATTGAGAATGAGAAAGGACCTCGTTCAGAATCCCACACTGGATGTGCTGTTTATCTCGGCCATTTTACACTGTCCTTCCTGGCATGAAGCAAGTGCAGCCTCCCTTTCCTTCTCTCCATTCCAACAGACCAGCGTGGAGTCCAGTCCTTCCAGTTCTTCACCTCCTGGATGCTAATCGGCTCCTCATGTCTTGGATGCTAATGCAGCTACCTGAAGTTCAACCCGTGAAACCCAATGACCTCCTCTCATCACACACTTCCTTGCCTGCTGCCCCCACCCCTCCCCGCTGGAAGGTTCACTCTTCCTGAGACTGCATAGCCGTATGATTCCAGAAACCCGGCCTTTCTGGATCTCCTACTCCGAGACTGACAGGCGCCTGTTTTCTTGCTGCCACCCAAATACAAGCATTTCCCAGACTGGATTTTTTGTCCCTTTCTGCCTCGGTTCCTGCATTCTTTTCACTCACATGACCGTTACCCTAATTGTACAAGATGAGCAATTTTGTCCCCTGGCTTCCTATTTTATTATCAACCACATTCTCAGACAGAATTATATAAAAGATAAAAGAGATCACCTAGTAAGCACAGCAATTAAAGACGACAGTCTGGGGGTTCCTCCAGTCTTTTCTTGTGTGTGGGGATACGGTTCCTTTTGTGCGGCTCTGATCAAATTCCTATAACATATGGTCGCCATAGTTGTCACAAATTATGTATAAACACAATTTTAAGTTCCTTCCAATTTCCCACCAACTACATACAAATAAAATCTAGTGTATAAATACTACTTCTTGAGTGCTATAGATTTAAGTGATTTCTACTTTTATAAAACTATAAATATCTTTTATCAGGGCTTTTTTGCTATATTTAGATATACTCCCTTCAGATAAATGTGCCAAAAGATGGCTTACAAGGACCATGTTGAAGGCTTTTACGTATATTATCAAATTACTTTGCAAAAGAATCATACCAAGGTGCACTATCCGCATTTTATAAAAGCACCTATCACACATTGCAAGCATAGTAATATTATATGACATCTCTTAACTTTTGCTAATTTTCATGAAAATAATGTGCTTTTAAAATTAATTTATTTAACTGAATATCACCTGTATGTTTTCCTCTGTATTTAATCTTGTAAATTATCTCAAAAGTATTTCGTTTTCCTAATGTCTTTCCTCTCACTGTCCTTACCTTTTCATTTTAGTATTTTATATACCCAACCTTGCCTGTGCTGTCTACAGGCATGCTCTCAGTTGTTTACTTTAAAATTTATAATGGGTTTAAAGGGCAGACATACAGGTACTTAACTTTTTGTATGTAAAAATGCATCTATCCATGTCATTTTTCTCCTTGTGCCTTTAAAAACTTGTTTTTAGGCTGGTGGAAGTGAACAGTAGGTGTTTGCCCGTAGGCCAACATTTTGCAAGCTGGCGGTCATTTAGAGTTTGACATGAGGGGAAAGTATGCACTGATTTTTGGTTCCACAGCCAGCCAGTCTCTCAGGCACCATCAACATGGCAATGCTGCCCTGTGCCCAGGTTTAGCACAGCTCTGCTGCTCTCCGGGTCATTCCATGCCAACGAGGACTGCTGACGTGATGGGCCACTGAGGCCTCCAGCCCCGGCCTTCTGTACACGCACACCTCGTGGGAGCACAGCATCGACGCTGCTCTTCATTTCTCAGCAATGGTCTGTGGCTCCTTGCTTCCCGCAGACACCAAAACACTCACCTGAAGATTTTAGTTTCTCCATGTTTTATTTCCCTCCAAGTCTCTGCATTATGCATATTATTTTGTAGCCAAAGAGACTCACTGCCTCCAAGTAGGGTCCACACTTCCTGCCTTCACTGATTCATGCCCATTATTCTTAAGAACAGCTTTCCCTTACCCACATCCCAAGATGCCAGGCAAGCAGCACATCTGCCATGAATCCTTCCATCTTTCTCCTTCCAAATGTGGATGACCACCTTTTATATTATTGTCTTTCTCATTAAAAGTAGATCAACTTTGGTAAGGTGTGCAGTTTCCCAGGCAGAGTTTGGGAACAAAAAGTTTATTTTGTCACACACTGCAGTGCCAAGGCAAGTGTACAAACCATCACAGGCTGTGGATCGCTGTATCCACGTACCGGATGACTGAAACTGGGGAATTAATTTGACTCTGTAATTGAGTTTAATACACAAAGCATTCAGCACCTTTGCTGAATCTCAGTTTGAAACCTGGCAGCTTCAACATCCTTACTGGATTCAACATCTTAACTTCAAGATTGAGTCCTGGTCTGTGCCTCACTGGCCACCTCTGCTGCTCCTGCCGAGTGGCTCTGCCTCCTCTGTTTGCCTTAGCTCTCCCTTGTGCTCATCACTCGGTACAGGTTGGATTGTGCTTCGGGAACAGAGGGCGTCCGATGCTCCCGTAGTTCACAACAAAGATTTCTCTTCCATCTTTGCGGTGGATTCCCTCAGCTCTGACTGCAACACTATCAGTAGAAGTGCCACACATATTTCCTGTCACATTTCACTGACCAGAGCAGGTCTTCCTGTCAGCCCACCTGTGACCAGACCGAGAATGCCTTCCTCCTCCCCCAGAAAGAGCAACGAACATTTTTGAACAACAATGAAATTTACAATGTTTCCCATTTTCCAAGTCAAATTTCTTAATGTTTTCCAAAACACATCTTCAGAAAAACTATCAAACTTAACCCTGTGCAGCTACATATCACTGCTCCTCCCTTGGGAAACTTACGCTGTGGCGTAGGAGGATGCCGACGTGACCCCGTAGTCAAAGACTCTGAACATCACTAGAGACCTTTGGGAAGAGACTATTCACCTGATCTCAGAAATATCTGAATCTCATGAAATGTCCACAATACCAACAACACAGAATTTAGCACTGAGAAAACTTTCTTATGTTTTTGTGGAGCAAGCACACTTGATTTGTTAGAAGTGAGGCACCGCTTCAAAGCAGCAGCACATTTCAACCTCTAGCTTATGCCCCACGCGTCTTGTCCAGAGGGGCAGGGTGAGGAGAGCAAACACAAAGATGAATACAAAGTCACCAAGGTCCTTGACTAGTTTCTAATCCACAGCAGACAGACTCAGACAGAACCAGCCTTCACAGAACTGAAACACATGCAATGCTGGAGACAGGAGTCCGTGCTGGGGCACAACGCTTGGTGATTTTAGGGAAGGTTTCACACCATGTGGACTGAGATTCCCATGGCTGAATAGGATTCCTTTGGACAGAGGGAAGGAGGGACTTCATGGTAAATGGTCCAGAAGAGCCATGAGAGAGGGACAGACAGAGAGAGACCAAGGGAGAGAGAGAGGGAGAGAGAGAGATCTCAGATTGTTAGTAAACTCAACAATTACTACTATAGGTTTATTCCTCTAGGCAAGGTTTCTGGCTTTTGACGGGCAGCCTAGAGAGAACATTAACATCTTTTCGTTGCTCTGTTGAACAAAACCCTTACATGGGCAAGATGGAATTCCATGATATACGCTACATCTGCAGGAAGGACTCCCAAAGGGTCTCAGCTATTGGCTAATTCTTTAAAATGGAGAATCGGTAGGTCAGCTCCATGAGGACATACCCCTCATGGTAGCAAAAGAAGCTTTAGAATTACATCAGAAAAGCACAGAGGCCCATTGCCTTTGTGGCAGTGCAGATGTAGCCTGTCCCCAAGTAGATGCGGAGCTGACAGGCAGAGGCTCAGCCCCAGAACACAAGTGCATCCTTCCGAATCACAGCTTCCCTGGCAAAACTACCCAGTGAAGATGCTGATCTCAAGCCTTTTGGATGCATTAAGAGTTATGCTAAAATCAAGGCTCTGGATCACCAATCCAGCCTGAACCCATACCACTCTCTATAGGCATCAGCATTTTTGAAGGACTCATTAAAAATACAAGTATGCACAGAGAGTGTCACGTCAGCTCTGTAGAGTGAGGACAGCCACTCCAACAGACCTGTGAAGTGATGAGCTGACAGAGTAGCTACTGCAGAGAGCTTACCTACATGCACACACCTTTTCCCCATCAAGACAGCGCAGGGGGCTCCCCTACCGCAGCCTGAGAAGCTCTGTGTGCTAGGACTTTATCGTGCTACTTTATTCCCTTATTCCTTGCCTTCTACTTGTAACAGAACCTAAAATTAAAAGTAGTATTTCTAATTTTCTCACTCTC